CGCTCACCTTCGCACCGGGGGTAAGGGATGCTCCAGGTTCCAGATGTCAAACAAGAAACTGTTGTTTTCCCAGTGAGGACATACCCCGGGTCACAGTAGTACTTCACTGATATTCCAGGGATGAACACTTTTACATCCTTCCTCTCATGCTGGCCATTTTTGATACTTGGAGGGGAAGGACACTGTTGCACTACAAAGAAGGGGAAAAAAGTTATAACTGGTCAAGAGGAGGTACCAGAAGCACCCACTGTAGGGTAAGGCAGCCTTTTCGCTTCTTTCTTTCCCATTAACTTTTCCCAAATTGCTAGGGATGTCACTGTATGAATTATGTTTCCGACCTGCCCTCCTCTACCTTCCAGCCTTCAAGTTTTTTGAGCTTATTGACATCAAGAATGATCTTTTCTCACTATTTAGGCATTTACAGTGGCTAGTTTCCATCTGTGGCCCTAACAGCTCGCTCTGGCCTTTCCATGGTTGTGAACAAGATCAGACACCAGCCTGGCTAGCTCGCTTTGCGGGTTCATTTAAGGAGATGAAAGCCCTATATAACAATGGTCTGAATGGGGATTATGAAGATGGGACAACAGATATTTGCATGTTTTTCCTTTCCAGTCCTGGAGAGTGGCCCCTTTACCTCCAAGGTGAGGCAGTTGCACCCTGCCAGGTGCACTCACACAGGGGTTCAGAAGAAACCAGCTACCACCCACCGCCTCATTTACACTTACTCTTTTCGCAGATAGGGACAGGAGGGTCCCACGTGCCCCCAAACTGGCACCGAGACTCTTGAGAGCCCTTCAAGGCGTAACCAAAATTGCATTCGAAGACAATGGTGTCTGCGAGTCTGTACATGGTCTCCAGCCCGGTTGTTCTTCCATTCTCAATCTCTGGTCTTTTGCAGCCGGTTGCTGGAAGTGAAGAGCATGAGGCACCGCTGGGAACGTGAAGCCCATCCTGGGTGCGGAGGGGCACTGACCAGGGGCAGCAGCTGCTGCCGAACCTTGCCATCACTGTCATGGGCATGTCAACATTATTGACTCTTATTTTTACACAAAATATCATTATTCAACCGCATTTATAGTCTGTCCTTACTCGGGGGCAGAAAGGGAAATCCACAGGGGCAGGTGGAGCTCCTCCTGCCTGCAGGACCTTTGGCCTCTACCTCTCACTGCAGATTTGGTCTGCAGCGATTAGACCGAGAGCCTAGAAGGAAGAGGCGGCCTGGGGAAAGGTAAAAGAAGCCAACACAAACACACCTTCACATCGGGGCCGGGGCCGGCTCCACGTTCCCGTGTCGGTACATCTAATGGAGGCGTTCCCGATGAGGGAGTAGCCATCCCTGCAGGTGTACTGCACAGCCGAGCCTGGAAGGTGGGTGTCCGAGGGCTGGCTGCTGTGCATCCCGTTGGGGATGCTTGGAGGGGAAGGACACTTCACCTCTGTGAAGAAGAAGGAAAGGCAGATGAGAAATACAGACAGGGCAAGAAAAAAAAAATTAAAAATCCAACATTCAAAAACCAAAGGAGGAAGACAATTAACTCCATTAACTACTTTGAATAAATATCTGTCATGTTAGCTGTCTTCCTGTCAGTGGGTGCAGCCCCCACCGCAACCATGGTCATTCCTTCTGCCGCTCCCAACCAACTCTCGCCGGCGGGGACGGACAGACGCCCGCACACCGCAGAGCCCTACCTCCGCACCGCGGCAGCGGCTCGCTCCACACGCCGTGCTCCCCGTCCACCGAGGTGCAGAAGATGGAGGGCTCTCCGGCCAGCGGGTGGCCGGGGTCGCAGGTGTAGGTGACCACGTCCGCGTAGGAGAAGGTGTCCACAAAGTGCCCGCTGTGTCTCCCGTGGGGGATGTCCGGAGGCGGATCGCAGGTGATACCTGTGGGCGCGTACACGGTGGCTTTTAGCATGGGCGCTGCAGCAGCAGCCGGGCTCTGCGGGACACACGCGCTTCCCAGGAAGGGAACCGACGGGCTTGAACCCGTCTCTGCAGTGATGCTCTCTGGATACAATGACCCAAATTACCCAGACACAAACCTCGTATGGAAAAAAAATCTCGTGTGGGAAGGAAAACCTGTGCCCTCCTGTGAGTCACTTCCTTGCTGCCCATGTCTGGAGGTGGTGGGACAATTCTTACCTCCCTTTCCATAACCCTTGGTGACACATGCAGAGAGAGACTGGCCACGCCATTCCTACACATGACCAGTAAGAAATACTTACCACAGTAATGGGGACTTTAAAATATTAATAGTTTTCCCGGTTTGGACCAGGATAAATAAAAGACCTTTGGAAACATTTTCAGAAACATCCAAAACAAAACAAAATGAAAAGAAGAATGAAAGATTTTACACATCCAGTGACTTGAGAAATGTTTTGCAATAAAATCTTTGACTTGAAAGATGTGCCACTGTCTCTTGCAAGCCATCTCCAAGGGCCTTTTGTTGTGGCCTACTTACGCTGGCAGACAGGAGCATCTCCACTCCACGAGACGTGTGTTCCAGAGACCTCGCATGTTCTCTGAGAGCCTCCAACCAACTTGTACCTGGAGTCGCACAGAAGGATTTATTAATATACATTAGGAGACTTGAGATTTCTTTACAACCCTTATAAGTGGCAGCCAAGCCTTCTGACTTGGGAACTACGTTCCTTCATGTAAAGCTAAAAATCTGCTTTACTCTCACTTGGCAGCTGAATTCAGCTAGCCGCAAGACTCACCCTTTGTCACAAGTGTAATTCACTTTGGACCCGAAGAGGAGGTCCGTCAGGACAACAGTTCTGCCATTTTCCAGATCCCCTGGCTTAGCACATTGTTTCCCTGGAAGGGAACATCAGCCACCATTAGCCCGCAGCTGCTCGCTCACATCCCACCCGGGGATGCTGACACAGAGCAGACCACATACATAAAGAAACTCATAAAGCCATAAAAATCTGAAAATCCGGCTAAGCCTGACACTTTAGGCTTTTCAGCGCTTGCAAGACGTACTTTTACAGAACTCCAGTGCCGCAGACCACATCTGATTCCTGAGGCAAGTGATGGCCGGTGGCATCCCCAGTTGCTGGGTGTACCCGGGCCGGCAGACGTATTCCACCGTCCCCCCCACGGGAAAGACGGTCTGGTTGCTGTACGGCTCCTTCAGCTCAGCAAACGCCAGTCTGGTAGGCGCATTGCAGCCAGCTACCAAGAAAGATAAGCCAGCCCAGTTGTCAAAGGAGTCAAGACAAAGCAGACTGGGGAGAGCAGGGGGAAGGTTAACATTCAGAGCACTGTTTGAACACTTGCCCTGCTCGCAGACTGGCACGGGTGGCTCCCAGGTGTTATTTAGTTGGCATCGTACCACTCTGTGGCCACGTAGAACATAGCCTGGCTCACACTCAAAGGCAATGGTGTCCTTGTGTGTGTAGGCAGTCTTAGGAGACACTATTCTCCCATTCTGGACCCGCGGGACAGGACATCTCGCCTCTGGAAAAGAAGTGCAGGTCCTCGAAACGGGCACTTGTGCAGTGTGCAGAGCTGTGCAGCTGCAAAGCCACTTAAGAGTTGCAATCCCTTTGAAGACACAAGTCTGAAAGTAATTTTCCCACAGATGATGTACTGCCTGCATCCAGCGATGACATTGAGAGACAGACCCAAACCAAAAGGTGAGGCTGGGGATGCTGGAGGCAGTGGGGTGGTCCTCCAGCCTCCTCCCCTCTGCCTGGCCACAGCTGCAAATCAGCCCGTGCAAATCCTGCCCTAGCAGGCACCTGGGCAAGAAGTGCAATTGTCTGGAGGTTTCCTAGGCTTTCCGAACATGAAGCAGTAGGGCCGGGGGGATTGCACCCGTGTATTAGTACACGCCCACACGACCCTACCTCCGCACTGTGGGGGGGGCCCGCTCCACGCGCCGTTTTGCCCATCCCAGGTGGTGCAGTAGATGGAGGGCTCTCCGTGGAGCGGGTACCCGGGGTTGCAGGTGTATGTCACAGATGTGCCAAAGTAGAATTCATCCAGCAGCCTGCCAGTGTGCTTCCCATTGGGAATGTCCGGAGGCGGCTCACAAGGGATACCTGCAGAGGTGCAGAACAAGGCTTCTAAATTCAACAGCAGCAGCACCAAAGCACTTTAAATCCCTCAGTCTGTGGGGCAGAAACACTTGTAGAGATGGAGTAGCTGCAATGAAGTGACCTTCTAGTTGAGGCATTGTCGGCAACTGGATCCCATCTCCCTGGTCAGCTATTTCTATGATGGTTAGAAAGTAGACCTGTAAGACAAACCTCTATGGAGGAAACACCTACACGTCTTATCTCTTCTACTGTTTAAGAAATAAAAAAGCAAATATTTATTTATATTGCCTGCGTAAAATCCTGATTTTTCAGCTGCACACAGTGCAAAGGCATGCACAGGCAGAAGTTTGTATGTCACCTTCAGTTAATATGTACCTGGAGAATCTGCAAAATGCTTTAAAATCCCAGAATGTGCCGGTAAAAGTTTCTTACTTTTATGAAACTGTCACCTAATTAGCAACAGTACTTAATCAGCAGAGAAACACCCAGGTGTAATTGCTGAGGTGCAGCACAGCAGCTCTTTGGGCACACATCAGTTATCCGTGCTCGTAGTGAAAGAGAGAGCTCGCAGTTTGGGACTCTGGGATTCCACTTCTGGCCCTCCCACAGTGCTCTGCCTTGGTCTCTCTGTGCCTAACAATAACAGCCCTTCAGCTGAAGATAATATTTTCCCTTCCTCTCTTGTAATGTCCTTGGGATGTTAGTCAGAGATGAGATACCTAAGTACTGCTGAAAAAGCTCCAGCTGAGACATTGCTTTTTATAATCCATTAGGCTTTGAGATTTTGTACTTTTTCCCAGAACATTTTCTTATGACAGCAAAACCTTCTGATATTTTTCATGCCCACAGAGCAGAGAAATTCCCCATGAAAGCTTTGATGGGAAAGATTTAGCAATAGGACAAGAGGAAACGGGCTCAAGCTGCGCCAGGGGAGGTTTAGGTTGGATATTAGGAAAAATTTCTTCACGGAAAGGGTAGTCAAGCATTGGAACAGGCTGCCCAGAGAGGTGGGGGAGTCCCCATCCCTGGAAGCGTTCAAAAAACAGGTAGATGTGGCACTTTGGGACATGGTTTAGTCTAGTCTACCCTTGACTGGTTTAGCGTGGACTTGGTAATGTTAGGTTACTGGTTGGACTGGATGATCTTAAAGGTCTTTTCCAACCTAAACGATTCGATGATTCTATGATTCGGCAGTCTCTGCTGGAAAATATTTACCAGATCCATGCAACCCCCCCACCCCCTGCCCCCAGCCGTAAGCTACTTACGCTGACAAGTGGGAATGTCACCACTCCATGCAACACGTCCACCAGAAATCTCACATCGTCTGCTGGATTGTCCGATTAACCTGTACCTGGTGTTAAAAGGATTGAACATTCATCCCAAGTCGTGTCAGCGTTAAGTTGCTACCTCCTCCTCACCACCCCGGCAGGCGCGATCAGCCCCGCTGACAGCAAAGCTGTGGCCCTTCCTTGCTCAGCACCACCTTACCAATTTCACAGCATATACGTGTATATATAAGATAGGGAGCACCTTATGCGTTCAGATAGGTGCAGAACTCTATATGGCTGCTGTGTACAATCCGTTTATTGAGAATGAATGAATAGGAGGAAAAAAGGGAGACTTACCTAACACATCTCTTCTTGCTGTTTTAAGCAGTAGCCAAAACCAGGACTTACCCTTCTTCACAGCTGTAGAGCACTGTAGACCCAAACAAGAGATCTGTTAGGAAAATAATTTTCCCATTCACAGGTTCACCAGGTTGACTGCATTGTTTCCCTGGGGGAGGAAAAAAACCTCGTTTTAGGCTTCTCTCTGTCTATCCCACAGTACAACAGATGCAACTATTACTGCAGTAATCTGTCCACATTTCCAGTTACCCCCCAAACGGGTTTCGAATAGCATAAAGTTACATGGCTTTACTAGTCACATACTATTTGAACACCAGAATAAGATTAAGGTTTTTGCAGCATGGACAGAACCTAGCACCTATATTCCTTCTTGAATAACAGACACCAAATCAAGGAGCTATTCACTTTTACAGAACTCTAGTGCTTCTGACCACACTCCGCTCTCAAGGCATGTAATAGTAGGTGACATTCCTGGGTGTTTAGCATATCCAGGCAGGCAAGTGTAACGCACAGTCTTCCCAACAGAAAAATCAATCTCATTTTTATGCTCCTCAATTAGCTCAGCAAAGTGTAACCTTGTAGGAGCACCACAACCACCTATTGAGAAAGAAAACAGATGTGAGAATCAGTCAGGACAGGCATGCCAGGTGCAAGCACAGAAAGAACACTGTTACAAGGAAAGGTTTTTGGTTTGCCTTGCAAAATTGTTTATTTTGATTAATGTAGCCATTATTAAACAAACACAACATATTTCCCCAAAGGATTCCAGAGGATCAGGTTTATTCCCAGGATATACTTAAATCTTCCACTCACAGGGTTTAACCAAGGATTTTTTTAAATGGGGTTAGGGGACATAAAATAGTAGCATACCCCAAGGCAACTATGTCACGATTTACCTGAAAGATCAGGCCTGTTTGAGAACTCCTGGTAATGGTACAGTCTATTGCAGACGGGAGCAGGAGGGTGCCAGCTGCCATCCTCCCGGCAGAAGATTTTAGCACTGCCGTGCAGGCTGTAACCGTCGCGACACTGAAATGTCACCGTTTGCCCAGGTGCAGAGATCAGTCCTTGACCATCAACCTGCCTTCCATTCTCTATATCTGGATTTATGCAGACAGTCACTGGAAATGATGATGCGCGGGAGTGATGTGCAAAAGGAGTTGGAACAAAACAAAACCAAAACACGCACAGGCTGTTAATATTGCAACAACAAAACCTACGTGACTTCTACGTAAACCTCCCCAGCCCCACCTTCACAAAAGAAGGGCTTGAAATTAATTTATACTATGCAACAATTTACATGGGATTAACCTTCTCTGAGGATGTTATTGCAATGGTCAGGGTGTCCCCTGTGCTCAGAGCCACACTACAAGCGTCTTGCCCGAGGGGACAGACCACAGACGCACCTTCACAGCGAGGGCCCGGCTGGCTCCAGTTCCCAGACACTCTGCAAAACACAACGGGATTTCCCACCAGGTAGTAGCCGGGATCGCAGGTGTACATTACAGACATTCCCATGGTAAAAAATGCCTTGCCCTGGCCATTGTGATTTCCGTTGCGGACCCCTGGAGGCATGGGGCACGGTCGGACTGCAAGAGGGAGGCAG